ATTCACGAAGAGGGTTTGTCTTTTATGCCTAAAAATCTTAACTACCTGGAAGCCGGAACACTTTCTTGCGCCGCTCTCACGGCGTGGAATGCCCTTTATGGAGTCAGGCCAGTTGGTGCCGGTGACTGGGTTCTGACCCAAGGTACAGGAGGAGTGAGCATTGCTGGCTTACAGTTCGCCAAGGCGGCAGGTGCTAGGGTCATCGCGACAACCTCTTCTCCCGCCAAGGCTGAGATGTTGAAGAAGCTTGGAGCAGACCATGTCATCAATTACAAGAAGAACCCGAACTGGGGCGATGAGGCTAAGGCTATCAGCGGAGGCGTCAAGCATGTCATCGAGGTCGGAGGCATGAACACTATGAGGAGAGCCTCAACGCCGTCGGCCTTGGTGGCGTCGTCACTATCATTGGCTGGGTTGGCGGACAGGCAGATGGCGGACTGGATTTCAATTTTATCCAAAGCCGCATGGCTATCTTGAGGAGTATCGTCGTTGGAAGCAGAGAGGAATTCGAAGCAATGGTAGATCTGCATAACATCTGGCATAACAACCTTACTAACATGGATAGATTCGGGCAATTGAGGCTCATGACATCAAGCCCGTTATCGATCAGAAGGTCTTCAGGCTGGAAGAGCTGAAAGAGTAAGAAGGTTTCAACGTCAGCGACATATACCGCATTCTAACGCATAGCAGGGCCTGCGAGTATCAATGGGATCAGAAGCACTTTGGCAAAGTTGCAATCCAGATTGAGTGAGAATGACTTCCGAAAAGTAACCTGCTTGGACAGTCGACATTGGTGGCCTTATTGTGACCATGCGCTGGAATAAATCAGCACTTTTTACTTCAATAACGAGATGACCCTGTCTTTCCAGAAACCTTAACCTCCATCTTCAAGGCATTGTTGTAGATGGGACAATTGAGCTTCAGGCTCCGGTGTACTCACGTTGCTTGATAGGCCATTCCGAATTCTCAATGCAAGAACGTGCTCGGTATCTAGCAGGTGTTTTGACTGCAACACATCTCCATTGCGCTCGAAAATTTCCACTGCTTTTGCAAAGATTTCATCGTCTATCACGGTCGATCCGAAAGGGCTCAGCGACAGCCCTCGTACGGTCATAACTGCCTCACGGCAGCCATCTAATTAAATTCAAAGTAAAGATTTTGAAACGACGTCAGTGATTCAACTAGACTGCATTGAAAGAGTTATTGGCCCGAAGTCTATATTGTTAGGGGTCAAGGGTCTGAGAAAGGTGTAGTTGCATTAGGAAGCTATTCTGTAGGCAGGAGGGTGCCTGGAACTAAGCTATAGGAGCTGCCAGGGCACAGGCCACCTGGCAATAGGTGAATGGCACTGAGTGAATGCCCTGGAAGCCCCAGGTGAATACCGCCAACATATATAACTTCAACGGGTCTAACCCATACTAGTCTGAATGCGAGGCCTTCTATCACCAGTAATTCCATCAACAAGATGATCAATGTGTACTTATACTATTAACACTATCTCCCCGTTCTCTCTGGGCATCGATATCTCCTTCCTCTATTTTGTCTTTGATATCTTAAACCTATCCTTTGTCTCCATGGCTGCGTCCCATTTAAAGTGTAGGGCCAAAACCTGACTCTTACCTTCCCCTAAAGTTGAATATTAATGCCAGGTGACCCCTGAGGAGCCACGAAACAGGGGTCTGTTTAGGGGCTAAGAATTGCGGGAACGTGTCAGGACCGCAGATGGCCGTCCTAGCTGCGGAGGGTCAGAATTAAGATGTAGTACAACCCTATATCCATTATCTATTGCCTGCGGGCTACTTGTGAAATACCCTCACTCTGCCCAAGCCACGCTCTGGCACTGATATAGGAAGATAGAAGATCTTGTCGCTTGTACATGGTCAGGGTAAGTTACTTGGCCGTAATGCCTCCTACAGAAAAGCAGATATCCGCCCTGCCGTACGAAAACCCTGAGCTATCGCTGCTCAAGACTCGTGAACGCTGTCCAATAATGATTGGCGCTATCATACTGACCCCTTATCACTTGCCGCCAAGCCTAGAAAAGCGCCTTAACAAACAGCTATCGTTTCTCAGAATATTGCAGAATAGTATGAGCTTCTCGATGGGGAAGGTAAGGCACATCTGCAACCCTCTCACTGGTTGCGGCTTCCGATTGTTCTGGTGCGCATTCGCATCGTTCACGGTCAAAGAGCGTTGAAGAATGCTGTACATGCATCGGATCTGTTGAACTAAGCGAAAAATACTTCTGCGAAGCCGAAGCCGTTTAATAGGGACTCAAGAGGCATGACAAGTGCTCTGGAGCGACATGTGAATAAAGCGCCCGTCGCCTGGTGCTGTCTCCAGCTTGTATGCCCACCAGACGCCCGGGAGACTGGGCAAGATTCTTCAGCAACCGTCTTGGCGCCGTGGTCGAGTCCTGCGGGGGACGACTGGTCTAGAACTTGGATGATTGCCGGCCACCGATGACCCGCTCGACCGCTTCAGGAAGGTGACTAGATCCACAGCCTGGACGAGCTTCAGAGCTTGGAAGCTTAGGAAGCTCTGGCCCATGCCCTGAACCTCACGAGATCCAGTGAAAAATATGACGACTTTGGGAGCCTTTTACGGATGCGGTTTTCTTCCTTTCTGGGAAAGACAATCTGGCTTTGCTGGGGCTAGACTCAAGCCTCAAAATGCACAATACATTGGGGCAGGAGGGCTTAGAACATGCTGTGCTGCCGAACACTGGCGCCCGCTTGTAAACGTTTGTCACAACTAGGAAAGCACCTTTCAAGAGATGACTGCATCATCACTATAGTAGTAACACGAGCTCTGTTGTTGCACAATGTCTTAGTGCCCTCTCTCCTGTCAGTTCCCGGATGAGCTGTCGAGAGGTTTGTGGCACCACCCAAGATGACGCGAGACGCCTACCGAT